TTCATACTCCTAGCCGTTGAAGGAATCTTTTAGTTGACTTCCCGGTTCTTTGAAAATCTTCTAAGTGTCAGACCTTCTGGTGTCTTTGTCTGAGAATAGAACAGAGGAGGTCTGGAGCACTTCTGTTGGGAGTCTCCAACAGAGACCCAGAAGGGTTTCTGTCAGAGTCAAGACTAACAGAGATCCTGAGGACTTCTGTTCTGGAGCAGAGAACCAAAGGTCCTCTGTTTCAATAAAGCCTTAAGAGGCACTTCTGTTCTTGAAGCACTTCTGTTCTTGAAGGTCTTCTGCTCTGGGAGCCCTTTTGCTCAGAAGGTCTTCTGTCTAGTCGAATACATCTAAGAACTTTACAAAGGAAAATTCTAATACATAATTTCTAAAGGGGTACTCTAAAGTCCTAATTAATCTAGCATCATCAAAATCTAAATACAATTATTCCTTACAGTCCTCCAGTCTGGGGCGTCCCAGAATGGCGTTGTGGGCGCATTTGAGCCGCACCACCACAAACGTCATGGGGATCGTTGCCCTATGCTCGCCGTCCCCGATCTCTACTGGCAGGACGATCGTCCCTTCTTCATCAATGTTGTGGCTGGTGAAACCAGCCAGGGGTGTCCGTAGGGGGCTCAAATCGGCCCTGCTCAGATGCATCTTCTCGAACACGTCCCAGTAGAGGACGTTGACGCTGCTTCCTGTGTCAACCAGGACCCGCCGGATTATCCACTCCCAGATATCCATACTGATCACCAACTCATCCCTGTGCGGCGCTGGTGATAGCGGTAGATCCGTTGTCCCGAATGTGATGGGTTCGGCCTTATGTTTTTTGGCGGGAGGTGCGGAGATAGAATTTACCCGGAGGGCCCTCTCGAACTTCTTTCTCTCCGCCGGGGTATCCCCAGTCTCCGCCCCTCTGAAAATCATCTTGATTTCCATTCTCTTCTTGGTGGCGACCGGCCCGAGGGACGCCTCTGGCCGCTTGCTGTTACGACGGAAATCCTCCTCCTTGACCCCAGCCTCTCGCCGATCATCCCGGCGCCAGCTGTAGGGCCTTCTATGCTGCTGTGGGGGGCCCCGATATGCTCCTCCTACGGTGAACTCACCCAGATACCCCCTCTCGATAAGCTGCTGGATGGCGTACTTCAGACTTTGGCAATCGTCTGTACGGTGTCCCTGCTTGCGGTGATATTCGCAGTAGGCTCCTGTGTCCCGGCCCATCATGAGCCCCTTGGTGGGTACCAGCTCCTTGAGCAGCCCCTTGTCCTTGATAGCCCCAAAAATATGACTGATTGGGTAGGCCAAAGGAGCTGGCCCCATGCCTACACGGGGGTCGTCCCCCGGGCGTTCCTGTGCGGCCCAAGGGACGTAACCGCCGATCATCTTCTTCTTCTTGAGTGTCGGTGATTCTACCGGCCCGGGACCCAATCGGCCTGATGCCTTGCACGCTGCGGGGGCCGCTGCCCCATCCCGCTGTGAAACCTCTTCCTCGATTGCAGCGAACTTGTGCGCACGGGCCAGCACCTCGGGGTTCCTTTTCAAGTCCAGATAGAGGTACACGGTTGCCAACGCATTGGTAAAGAGGGTGATGTCGCTGCTCTCCGGAAGGTCCTTCACCTTCAGGGTCTCGTACCTCCACCTGACCAGGAAAGCAGATATGGATTCTCCCTTGTTCTGGTGGACGTTCGTGAACCAACTGAAGTGTTTCTTGGGTGTGGAGCTTTATGCGAACTGAGCCATGAACTGTCGGGATAACTGTTCAAAGTTGTCAATGGACCCGAGCCTGAGCTGTCCGAACCATTCTTGCGCTGGTCCCCTGAGGGTGCTGAAGAAAAGTCTGCAAACAGCCTCATCGGAGGCTCCCAACATAGAGAGTGTTCCTTGATAAGATAGTAGATGGGCCTTGGGGTCCCCGGCCCCATCATAAGTCAGTGTTCCAGGAGGCCGAACGTCCCGTGCAATGTCTACTGTCATAACCCTGTCAGTGAAAGGGGGTGAGAGTGCAATCATGGGATGTGCCTGTGTATTCTCCGTACGTCGGTTCAGCTCGTTTATCTGTCTCTGCATGTCCATGAGCATGGCATCTCGTGGATCGGTGTAATACCCGAGATTAATTTAAGAGGATTAATAGTACTACTCATACCAACAAATGCATCTCCTTTGAAGGGAACTCATCACCTAAGAACTCCAAAGTTAAGCGTGCTTGCACGGGAGTAGTCTTGGGATGGGTGACCCCCTGGGAAGTTTCTCAGGGCACGCACGAGTGAGGACAAAGTGCGCGAAAAAGGTTAGTGGCGGTTTGTGAGGACAGTACTAAAAGGTCAGAAGTAACTACCTCGGGGCTGACGGGGCCGGGGTGTTACAATCGGCCCCAGCGGGCGTGGGAGTTACAAATGCTAAGGTGTTCCCCCTTGGCGTGATGCCATGATTATGCCGACCATGGTATACCCGGGCCTCCGCCATCATGCCATCCACCACGAGAGTATGTTCCCGAGCCGCCCGTCCATCGCGGGGCATGACCGGCGTGGGGTCTTGGATCGTGTGGCGCTGCGTTCCCCTGAAAGGCCTGGCTCCCGCGGCGCCTCCCATACCCGGAGAGCGAGGATGGTTGTTTTCACCAGTATGCTCGGCGAAAGACTGCATGGGGCCAATGGAGAGCCAGTCCTGAGGAGAGGTCTTGAGAGTTACCCGCGTTGTTAGTGTTCTTTTACTCTCCTTGCGGTTGTCTTAGAGTTTTTTAATGGAGAGCTTGATTAGGAGAACTTTTTGATCAGTTTCCCACAAATGGCGCCAATGTTGAGGTTTATTCCCCTCAACCCGCAGGCCCAACACGTAACCTGAGGGTTTCGAATGGGTGGAAAGGAAAACAAGCTCACTAAACAACGGGGAATGGGATAATAACTGTATTTCATTCACTCTAGCGATTTACAAGCCGAGGGGGCGAACGTACTAAGCTATGCTACGTGCTATTGATGTTATTACAATACTAGAGTGTCAAAGTGTGAACCCTTTACAATGAAATAAATGCGACTATTTATAGTATCCCATGGTGGTTGGGGGGCTGACGTGGCCGGCTGTGGGAGACATGATCCCAACCACCAAATCTCCCGCATTTAATGCGCTTCCCGCCAAGATCTTGGTTTCCTGCCATAGCGTGGGTGTTGGAAGTATGCCCTAGGACAATCATACTTTATGATTTATCAATGAATATTTAATGCTCATTAATTAATAAAGTCACAAACTCATTTTATGTTAATTATTATTGTGAGTTTTCTTTATTAATATTTAGTCCCTGAATATTATGTTTAGTAGCTAATTAAGTATGTGACTTAATTTTGGTAGTCTACAAGATGCTCGTCCCCTGGACCTTAGGCCCTGAAGCTTGGTCCTTCGGGGCTACATACGTCCCCTGGCTCTTGGACCCTGAAGCCTGGCTATGCTGGGCTACGTACGTCCCCTGGCCCTTGGGTCCTGAAGCTTGGTCCTACGGGGCTACGTACGTCCCCTGGCCCTTGGGCCCTGAAGCCTGGCTATGCTGGGCTACGTACGTCCCCTGGCCCTTGGGCCCTGCAGCTTGGTTATGCTGGGCTACGTACGTCCCTAGGGGTTGATGGGTCGGCCCTGGTTGACCATTAACCCAACAATACCGATCTGGGATTCGCTCAAGTGACACGCTGCATTTAATGCTAGAGTATGGAGACCGTAAGTGGGAGCATGGGTGCATCAAGTGGTATGGAAAACAACCAATCATATTAGGGCACCCCATACCTCCACCTACTCCCTGTCTAGTATAAATAACAACATTTATTCCATTAGAAGGGGTTAGCATTTGACCATTTGTTTACTCATTAGCTCATATAGCATTCTAGCTCTTGTATTAGGTTTTGGATCGTAATTGCCGTTCGGCCGTTTCTGTGTAATTGTTATTACTACGTTAATACAAGCGCGGTTAGTTGATTGAGCTCATTAATTTTTATATTTCTTTTATACACCCTATTGTAGCATTTATACCCTAGATCCAAGGCTGGTGTTGGGCCTTCAGTCATTCGGGACTTATATTCAACAGTCTTATTTATGGAAAACCAAACATATACACCTGTTTTGGGAAGAAATATATGTTTTAGTAAAGACAATTTTTTCTTAAAAAAAGGATGACACCCCATCCCTGAGGGCCCCCCTAGATCCAAGGCTGGTGTTGGGCCTTCGATCATTCGGGACTTATATTCAACAGTCTTATTTATGGAAAACCAAACATATACTCCTGTTTTGGGAAGAAATATATGTTTTAGTAAAGACAATTTTTTCTTAAAAAAAGGATGACACCCCATCCCTGATGACACCTCATCAATTTTCTTTATTTTTTCTTAAATGGGACTATAATTACAATCATAGAGAGTGGGACTCTGTCCCCGGTACTTGCAGAGGTCTTATACATTTTTTAGCATAGTAACATCTTATCGCAGTTGTCTAGATTCGAACTCAGGACCTAACCCATGTGGCATTCCCTCGCTACCAGTTGAGCTACACCCACCAGTAAGGCAATTTTTTCTTAATTATGTGTTTAGTAACACTGAAATTTGTTGAATCGGTTGATTCTAATGAAATTTATGAAGTTCTTCCTGAAGTGATTAGATTGATTGATTCTTCTAATTTATGAAAAAATTATATTTAAAATATATATATTTTGAAACAATAAAGAAAAAATTATACGTAGTATGAAAATAAATAAATTGATCATCTACCGTAACTTCAACAAATACAACCAAGAAAGTAGGGATGGACTCGGGCCGGGTGGCCCGACCCGAAACCGGCCCGGGACCGGTACTGTTCTGGCCCGGCCCGACCCGGTGGCCCGGTAGGCCCGGCCCGTGGGTTTTCCGGTCCGGGCTCGGGTCACCCAAAACAAGGCCCGACCCAGCCGGGCCCGGGCCCGGTTCGAGCCAAAAACTTTTTTTTTTTTCAATTTTTTTTAAATTTTCGGGTTGGGCTAGGTATTTTGGGCCATTTGGGGTGATTTGGGGGGTTGGGGGTGGGAGGGGGGTTAATTTGGAGAGGAAAACAAAAAAAATATAATGGGCCCGGCCCGGCCCGGCCCAGACCCGGACCGGACCCGGTGGTTACCCGGGCCGGTCCCGGGTCCACCATTTCTGACCCGCCGGCCCGCCTGGGCCTAGGCCCGACCCGGACCCGAGTCCATCCCTACAAGAAAGTAACTTTAATCTTACTGTTTCTTATTATTACACAATTTAGCGCACGAAATTAAAAGTTATTTGTTTGGTGAAAAGTTTGCTAATAAGCCTACAAAGCCTGAAAAATTTTCCAACAAATTCCTGATGAGCTGCCCAAAAATCTGGCTACACCGCTGCCACACCGCCGGAATTTTCTGCCGCCGCCGCAACTGCTCCGCCACCAAGAAACTGCCTTGGTTATGCAAGGGATCCAGGGGCAATTAATTAGGTTAATTAATTAATTTTTAATTAGGGGTAGAAATGGAATGAACAATCTTATTTAGGGGAAACCAAACATATACTCCTATTTGGGAAGAAATGTATGTTTTAGTCTTACCAAAGGCAATTTTCTCTTAATTATTATTAATTATATGTATGATTACACTTTGACAGCTTGACTCATTAGCATAACACTTTGATACAGTTGATAGTTGATACACCAACTCTCTAAAATATCAAGGACACTTCATATGAAATATGTACTTTGACCAATAATCCAATATCATCCCCATGGACTATGAGGCTGCTACAAATATCATCCATAGGATCGCACAGCACACTCCAAGTAAAGAAAAGCAAAATAACCTACAAAATCCATTATTGCAACTGACAGCGCAGCATCTTTCTGAAACTGCCGATGCATTGCTAACTGCTGCAGCAATATTAATGGCATTCAGTCCGAGTCTTTGGAAGCTAGGCCCTAGCTCGAAGGCCTTGCTCGCCGGATCACTTTCTGCAGCTGAAGCATGAGTGGTTGGTATAGATTCCATAAATGCCCATAGAGCAGATGAGAAGCTGGAGTGCTTTGAAGCATCATCCTGTGTAGTAGTAGTAGTAGTATCACCCTGTGTAGTAGTAGTAGTATTCTGGGTCAAATTTGCACTCACAGGATGACTTTCCAAATGAGTACCATATACCACACCTATACCCACCAAAATTCATGAAATCAGCAAAATATATCATATTACATTATACTATTATTATACATTAGCGGTAAAGCGCTCTTGAAGCTGTGACTCAAATTACCATTGGTTCAACGCTTAGAAAGATGGCAATGATTTCTACACTATTAAACTCAGGGAATGGGAAAACGGTTTTGTATTTAAAGCATCATTATCTTCACCACCATAAGCCATAGCGATCAGTGACATGAACATGCCAATGTCTAAAATCAGTTAAACATCATGCATTTATGCCAAAAAATGCCAAAAGTCAAAATCTTGACACATTTACCTTTCTATTGCAACTTTATATCATAATAAGATGAAATTCCAAAACATAAATCATCATTCATCATAAGTTCTTCTCACTTGCATGGACAATATTGTGCGATGTGGAGAAGTTGAGGTAGTAGCTATAGTCATGTCCCATTACAGGTTTGCATTTCATCTCTTTACACGCCCAATCCCTCCGTCAAAATCTTTTTCAAATAACAGTTTACAAGGTTGACTGAATAAATTAAATTTGTCTCTAAATACTTATACTAGTATTAATATTAAAAAATACGTAGCAAGTGTTTAAAAACAACACCAAAAGTTTTATTAAAGCACAACAACCAAAATTTAATATGACAAAAAGATTTTATGCTAAACATCAAATTATCATATAATAAAAAATAATTGCTCAGAAAATGAAAGTTAAATTGCAAGAATGTTTAAGACAAAGGGAATATATAGAGATAGAGAAAACATGACTTCGTTGGTGCAAGCAAGCAAGAAAGTAGTAGACTAGTAGCATATTAGCTGTTGGCATCAATTGTTGTACCTGATGTCATTGGGAGGATGGTGCACTGCTTTACTTCAATGGAGTTGATCATCCCACAACTTAGTTCATGACTCCACGGCTGGTTGTTGAAATTATTACCAGCATTTATATGCAATTGTGGATTAATCTCCATTGGATGAAAATCACCAGAATTGGTGAAGTGTGAGCTAGTAATGTCATTAGTCACATGAAACACACTTCGTCCACTAACCCGGTCCTTTCCAGTAGCCCCCATATCATGAAGAAACATACATGCATCTTGGTAAATGTCGAGTTCGTTATATCCGTCCAAGGAAACAAATGGTTGAATTGCCATGCTCTGGACACCTGTGGGCCTTAGACCATCAAGATCATTCACCTCCAAGGAATCTTCAAGAAAAACCTCTTCCACTACTTGAGCCTTCCCCCCTTCATTGGTAACTGGACCAACTGTGACCTCAGGTAGGAGCGTCTTGAGGGCACCTGAATGTGTCATATCACTTGAGGTGTTCTCTGTTAAATAATTCAATTCCGTTAGTGGAGGCTCACCAGCTAAACGATTAAGGAGTTCTTCAAGTTCGTCTACCACGGGCAGCCCATCATCATTAACCTTTTCGGGAGACTTATCCTGTTCAACGTGAATAGTTACAGCTTGCAAGCATTCATCATCAGCCCAGTCCTCCTCCTTAAACGGTGCACCATATTCTTCACCGATTTTTGGACCAGGACCGCTCTTTTTAAATACCTTGTACAGTACATAGTAATCCTGTGAGGATTGGCATCTTCTCAACTCCTCTTCATCCAGGGTATACTCATGCATCACCCAATCTGTTCTTTCACCTTTAGGTGCACGGCCTTTATAAAAAACTAGCGTTTTCTTAATGCCAACATCACGGGAATTACAGGTGATAGTGCGGTCCTTCCCTGTCACTTTCCAGTAGCCATGCTCAGTGGCTCTATTTGTTCTGCTACTGTTTGGATGCTTTCTGTCCCTGGGGCTAAAGAAGAACCACTGTCTGTCACCTGTCTTTAACTTAGACAGCTCTGATTTTTTAAAATTGCAAAAACAATCAATCATTTTGGCAATATAAAAAAGCATAAGCAATAAGAAAGTTCAATCATAAAAGGTCTTGGCCATCAAGTATCATTCATGAGTATGACTTAATATGAGGGTAGTGTTATTGATGACAAACATATATAAAAAGGTTCTAAATTCATACTTAGTAAACTACTCCTTGGTGTACATATAAAAATGATATCACAATGTTTGTGATCGCCGCACAACGGCGCACATTCAAGATGCAGAAAACCATGCTAAAATTGAAGAACTCTTTCATTTTTCATTATATTGATGTGATCAAGTACACATATCTAAACATGTAGTTGAGTCTTCTGCCATTGAGCATTTGACATCACCCCGAACAAAATGAATCATCTCTTACACAGAAAATGGAAGGACTATAAAGAAAACACCATAGGCCAACCAATACACTTACAGACCCAATCTGAAGTTAACTGAACCTGATCAAGATCCTAATACTTAACTGCCAAAAATAGAAATTAGAGTCAATACTTTGATTACTATAAACAAGTGAACAACATTCTACCACAAAACAAAAGGAATCAATCACAAAGCACAACTAAGAAACACATGCTCCCAATAAAAAAAATCAGATTATACAAATGCAAAAGATCAACCGAGGAGATTAACAACATCCAAGACAAAAAAATAAAATAAAACGTTGAAATTCAAACGATGAATAATCAAAAAGAAAGAAGTCTCCACAGATGTTGAAACCACAATAAACAAGTCAATGCCCCGTTATGTTTTCATCCAGAACATGAATGATATGGGAATCGTCAAAGAAAATGCATTCAACACTCAAATACATGGGACCGAGAGAAACGCGGATTATAAAACAAAATCGAAGGCGGGAAAATGTACCAGGAAGGTCCTCCGGATCCCATTTGTAGACGTCAGTCTCGCCGATGACATCAAGAAGAAGCCGTCGGCGGCAGACCTTTCTCTTCAGGTAGTACAGAACCAACTCCTCGTCAGTCGGGTGGAATCTAAATCCGGGAGGCAACCTCTGATCCGTAGGGCCCTCACCGATCAAAACCATATGTTTCTCAAAAATAACGTCAATTTATATAGAAGGACTTGATCTCAATTATGATCCCAATGGAAAACTGCAGCTATGGTGCGGTAAGTGATGGAGATGACATGTGTGAGGACTGAGGAGCTTCCCGGCACCTTGATTTAGGAAACCCTAGGGCTATAATGATTTCGGAGAAGAAATATTAACACTTAACTAGCAAAGTACACGTGGATAGGGCAAAAAAAATTTAAGGTGCACATGCTTTGAAGGAAGGATCTTTTGGTAGTTTAATCCGGTAAATTACATGTACGGTCGACTGTACTGCGCGCAAGATACAGTCAGGTTTTCTTTTGTAATTAATATGTCTTGCAACTCATCTGCGAAGAGGAAGAAGGACATCTACGAAGATGGAAATCGACTGTCCAGGACTCCAACTCGCGAAGCAGCCCAATCCGTCACATACTCCGATCGATTGGCGTAGCGAAATATAGCTTTCACAGATGACGATTCTCAACGGCCGCAACTCTTCAGCACGAGCACAGCACCTCAAACTCTGGCTTGAGCGGCGGCTCCTGCGCAGCACCTGGTGTATAGCCCTAGTTGCTTCTTCTCTCTCTTTCTTGCTTTGGACTCTTCCTCTTTCTCTTTTTCTTACTTAATTTGGTGAGTGAGTTTGGTCACTTGTTGGCCACAGGTTAGACTGTTAGAGAAATCTAAGTTGTACGTAACTATTCAGTTGTGAGCATAATAAATGAAATTATGAGCATAGTAGACATTTCAAAGGAGTTTTATGAATGCTCATTTTGTAATTTATGTATACTCATTTGATATTAGTGTAATACTCATTTTAAATGAAATGTGTTTTATGATAAACTCAAATGAGTATAACGTCCAAAATGAATGAGCACACACAAATGAACTTTTTAGTTATTTGATATTAATTTGTAAGTTATGTATGCTCATTTTGAACTAAAACTTTTTAATAAACGAGAAAACAATAAACAGAATGTGATATATAAGGAATGAAGCAGATATCACTGATGCTCATCGTTAGGCTTTTAATACTCAAAAGAAGAGGCTCGTCGCTCATCAAAATTGATTCAATGATCATTTAAAGAGAATCTGTAATTTTCATCAAAATTACAAGTTTGTCACCGGCTGTACGGCTGGCACTGTACAACCGGCTGTATCATATTCGCTTCTGTTTAATCCACGTCCACTTTTTTTTTAAAAAAATAAGTTAATTGCAGAGTAGTCCCTGTCCAATCTGCACATCAATTTACACTGAGAGAATAATCCTGTGAGGCTTGTGAGGTATCGCTGAAAAACTACGAGAGACGGCTCTGGGAGGCGAAGAAACCAGGGAGGCAACGAAAATCCGGATTAGCTTGTGAGCTATCGCTGAAAGGCTACGAGAGACGACTCTGGGAGGTGAAGATATCAGGGAGGCGACGGAAATCCGGCTTAGCTTGTGAGCTATGACTCAAAGGCTGCGAGAGACGGATCTGGGAGGCGAAGAAACCAGGGAGGCGATGAAAATACAACATCTAGAATTCTCAATCCAAGGTAGGTGTCATCATCTCTAATTTTTTGTTGTGCGTATTCAATTTCTTAGTCTGGAAGGTTAAAATTACTTCCTCCATTATCATTCATCTCCTCTTCCATTAAGTTTTCCAATTGGTCTTTGAAAAGTACCATCGAATTAGGGTTTTGCTTTCGCTTTCAGCCGCCTGATCTGTGGATGGAAGCAAAATTCAATTGCTTTAAAGTCTGTTCAAATTTTTGTACGTAGTTTGTGTGCGCTTGGTTTTTAGAAATACTTTTTAATTAATGTGAATCTAGTAGCTATTTAGTTTTTCTTTTGGTAATTTTCACATGTGAATTTTAGCTTTTTTGAACTCTTGTTTTGTTTTATCTCATAAGTAATTAAAAGGAATGAATCTTACTTTCATTGACACATTAGTATCATCATATAACAATAATAGTAGCCTCCTATTCATTTTTCACAAGTTGGAGGACTAGGAACTCGCCCGAAACCAGAAAAAGCAATAGGAGGCTACCACCATTTTTCAAGATGTTGGGCCCGGAACCGGTCCGGGTTGATACTGGGTCCGGGCCAAACCGGGCCGGTTCAATGTATATTTTTTTTTGCTTTCTAATTAACCCCTGACCCCTCCCCCTCACCCCCACCCCTCAAACCTCCCCAAAACACCAAGCCGGGCAACCCTACCCAAGGAAAAGAAAAAAAATTGAAAAAAATGAACGGGGCCCGGGCCGGACCGCCCGGGCCAGTTCATGAAAAACAAGGCCCGAGTCCGGCCCGCCCGGCCCGCTAGGCCCGCCCAAACCGGGCTAAAGCCCGGAACAGGCCATCCGTTCCCGGTCCAGGCCCGCACACTAGCGGGCTGGTCTGGTTCCCGGGCCGGTTCGGCCCGGTTGGGTCCATCCCTATTTCCATTCATTTGGAGTTAGAGCTTGTCACATAATGGGCTAGTTGTTAGCTCAAAAGGGTGGGCATGCTGGTATTGGTTTTTCAAAGAAGGATCTATACAATCACTTTCATAAAACACAACGTGACATAATTAAAGATGGCGATGCACGTGTTACATTGAGTTATTTTGAAGGGAAGGCTGATAATGATCCAATATTTTGATGGTCCCTGAGTGAGGTAAAAGTCCAGAGGGTGAACAGACTTTTAAAATCTTTTCAATTTCAACATTTTTTCCTCTAATAGAATGAGTACCAATATCTTTTGGGAGATATTGAAATCTACAGCGGAAGCCTTGATCTCAAGAGTGTGACACTTTATAGTAACAAAAGTTATGACCCCTTTAGTTGTGTGAGAGATGGAGTAAACATGATACAAATGTGTTTGCCAGAATCAGCTGACTCAAGGAGCAGGCTGCTGAAACCTTAAGGAGCAGGCTGCCAGGTTATTGGGGGGCTGGCTGCTGAATCCTTTATGAGCAGGCTGTTGATTTTGCTGCTTTATCAATGCTTAAGACACATAGAGGAACTATGACCTTGGACATTGTTTGGCTGTTTTGAATAGACAAAACACATCGGTATGAAGGATTTAGACTTATTGAAATATATCACTTTGATGAATAGAAACAAAGAGTTTGATTCACAGAAAACTTGGACAGTTTTCTAGACTGAAAATGAGCAAGTTGTTTTACTGGGAATTTTTGAAGGTGAGTGAGAACTGAAGTGTGTGTTGGATGTTTAATATAAAAGGTGACACAAGATATATCCTGGTTCAGAAGTGGTGTAATCTTCCTACATCCAGTCTCAACCTATTTCAGATGGATTTCCGCTTAATGAATATTTCATTACATTTAGTGCACAATCTACCTTTGGCCCAGGCAGAGATTGTGAGGTTTTTCACAAGGAATTTGAACATCATTCCAAGCTACTCAGTCCTCCAAGGTTTTTCACCAATGGCATTGACTTGCCAAGATCTACTCATGTCCTTGTCCTTCTCACCTCCTGGATTTATTCACAAAGTCCTCCAGAATGTCTAACACTAGTCTAGTTTACATGGGTGAAAACTAAACTACCAACTAATCTAAGCTCTATAGATGTGTATGAATTATGAGTTGTTCTAAGAGCATTAGATGAGTGGGGTGACAACCTAAGTGGTGAAGGAGAATCAACTTGCTGAATGTGTTCGTGTGAATATGGACTCCCTTCTATTCCACTTGGCTCACACTTGGTCTTCCCGCACTCTTTCTGTATTTATAGACTTGTTGTTGAATCTTGTCCATTGGCTGATTAGTTCAATCTTGATCGTTGCCTCATCTAGTTGCTTTGTTCCACTTGACTGAGGAGAGCATGGTTGGTCTTTTTCTTCTTGTGACATGGATCAATATCTCCACTTAACTTGTTTCGTCATTTCAAGGCAAAAATAAAGATGTAATATCTTTATTTCTTTTACTCGTGGAAATTTAGTATTTAAGGTGAGTTTATGTTCAATGCTTCCTTACAACAAAATCACTTGCTTTTAGTAAAATAATTTTATAAGAAATAATGTGATAAAATTTTCTTATAAATTTACTTTCTATTTTTGTCATTTTGACTGCAAGTTTGTCCTTTGTTTAATTGATTTTGTGTTAAGAGATGATAGTAGATTTCGGTTTGAGCTAATTGGAAAACAGAATTAGGAGCCGGCTGAAGTTTTCAGCAGGCTGTTGATTCTTGGTTTTTCCAGATGGCTACCGATTTCACAAAGGGTTTTAGTTGACTCTTTTCGTACCTTTTCTTTTTTATTATTTTCTTTTTGTTTTATGGTATGTTTCTTCTCTTTTCAGTACTCTTTATTTTTCTTGAGTACTTTATCACTAATATAGGAGCACATTACAATAAACAAAGTAGAACAAGTACAAGTACTAGTCTAATACAGGGATAGTACAAAAATGGGTGGCATCATCAAAATAACATACATTAATCATCAAAATCTAGGGGACCTAACAATTTCCCCCTTTTTGATAATGCCAAAAACTAGAATAACAAACACTTATAAAGAGCAAAAAATTGTTTAAAAGACCTAAGTGTTTGATTCTATTTCCCCCTTTTTTGACAGCAACAAACACCTACTCTTGGTGCCTTCGACCTGATGATTCTCCAGTTTGGAAAATGCTGGCTACTTTTCTTTTTCTCGTTCTTTCATTTGCTACCATTAAATTGTGGAGATTGTTGTGGTAGGCTTTGTTGATAATCTCCATTGAGAGTGAGGTTTCAATGTTTTTTGTCTTTAGTCATCCAAGAGCAAACTCTTCTTCAGACATCATTCTAGGTGCATTGAGAAGAAGAAGATCTATAGGGGACAGTCTCCATGTCCTCCAATCCAGCACTCTCAGACATTTTCTAAGTAGGACTTCTTTTTCAGCTTCGAAGATGACTCGTGATTCAAGATCAGCTAGGCATTCTTGTTGTTCAGGAGTCAAGGCCTTTTTATGCTTATTTTTTGTTGTGGAGGTGCTAGTGTTAGTTCAAGGGATATGTTATGGAGTGAAGAATTTGATAGGTTTTCCATTTGAGAAAGGTGCTGATTTTTTGAGGAGTATTTGAAGCAGGTATGAGAGTGAGAATTGTGAGCTTAAGTGAGGAGTGATGTAAACCGATAAGTTTATGGTATGTTTCTTCTCTTTTCAGTACTCTTTATTT